TTTTTTTTTCTTTTTAAAGTTAGGAGTACCTTTCTTTTTTCTCTTACTTTATGCATTACACTTTTTCCTTGTACTTCGGGTTCGATAAAACATCGATTAACGACACTTTTTGGTCGATCCAGAAAACCGGGAAATTCAGATATCCGGGATAGCGATGGTCCCGAGCATCCCGGATAATTGGTCCTCTACTGTATTAAAACTCAAGATTTTTAGAACTCAGTATCAGGAATATGGCCATTCCCGCACATTCTGAATAGCTAAGTTTTTACAGTTTCGGATAGCTTTTGTAATAAGAAAATTATTATAAAACTAACTTTAGTTTCTCTTCCTCAGAATGTGCACTAAAGAGAACATTATTGCTGCAAAACGTAGAACAAGTCTTGAAGCAATGCTGTTCCTTGCTGGAAACCTAGAATATAAGAACAGTAGAATATAAGACCAGAATGAATTACCTAATAATATAATCTCAATAAACAGGAAGCAAACAAAAAATAACTTACATAAGCTTAGATATCTACATATAATAAAAAAAAAATTCTGTGGGCCTTATAGGTACTACTACTACCACTATAGCTACAAGTTTAAAGTGAAGGTTGATCCTAACTACAGCAAGATTTCCTTATTTTTTAAACACTGACTAAACTTTTCTTAAGACACAGTTTTAATCAAATAGTTTCAGAGTTTTAAAATTTAAAAAAAATCCTATATTTAAAACTTGATTTCTCCAGAACTATTAGACTAATTTAGTTAAAAGTTTGTGTTTTGCCATATTAAATTACATTCCATAAAATGATGTAAATATTTGTATACCTTACAATTCAACATTTTTCAATTATAAATAAATAAAATAATTAGTAAAAATTGTTTGCATGGATATATCTTTGGATAAACAAACTTTATAATTATGTGCAATGCAATGTAAGCAATTTTCAATTTGCTTAAAAAGTTCTTCAGAGATGGCAAAATCCACAAAAAGTAAAACAAACAGTAATGAGTTCAAACTTTTAACAGCGCTCCTATTCAAACTATTTGGACCAAATTTCGCAGATTACTCCTATTCCCTACATTTTGAGGGTCAAGAAATATAAGAAATTTTAAAATCAACAACAAATGCTACCCACAATAACTAAAAGTTATTCTTGCAGTTATTCTATTGTGCCATAGAATGCGTCTTAAAACAATATAAAATGTGCATGTCAGCCATCATTTTTCTTTGCTGTTATCTACATAATTCTGTACTTATAGTATGTTTGTTTAGTTTATTCTTGCACTAATTTTTCGAATAAAACTGTTTTTTAACTTGAATAGGATGTTGAACTGTTTTATAAATTTATTTTATGTACAGTCAGCAAAAAAAAAAAAAGGATTGCATTTATTACTCTTGAATTTTGGTTAGATTTTCATTGGTAAAGTGTTACGGCAATAATACCTCAAAAGAATCTCTTAAATTATGCTGCAACATAGATAATGACTATTTGAACATAAAAATGCAATTTTTCAGAAGAAACATGCATTATGATGATTCTTTATATATTTGTTCAACATTACAATTTTTAGATTTAAGTTAAACATTTACAGTATTAATAAATGTTGAGTTGCAGTTTACTTGTGTTTTCATCATTTTTAGCGTACTCTGCTTTGCAAGTCAAACCCACAAAGGTTATGGGCCTTTTGCCCACCTCAACGCCAATGCACTAATCAACGATACAGATTCAGAAGAAATTCTATCTGGGAGCTGAAATATTTATTTTAATAGCAAGAAGAAACCATGTTTTGAATATGGAAGGAAATTTAGAATCAACGAATTTAGCTTTTCCCAAACTTGGAGCATTTAACTATGATAGTTGGAAGTGTGACATGAGAGTAGCTCTGATGGATCGTGGAAGTTGGGAATTCATCGGTGGAGCTGAATCACCATCACCACCTATAGCCACTGTAGATGATTTTGCTATCAAGATTTATAACACCAGATAGCGCTGAGCGCAAACAATTTATTATTTTTTTTTCTGCACTTCCTAAGTTTCAGTTTACTTTTACCAGTGAACCACGATGGAATAAAATCATCTTAATCATTACAATTGGGTAATTATTATTGTTGAATTCAAGTTATGCCACTGGCCCAGAATCAGTTAAACANATTTTTTTTTCTGCACTTCCTAAGTTTCAGTTTACTTTTACCACTGAACCACGATGGAATAAAATCATCTTAATCATTACAATTGGGTAATTATTATTGTTGAATTCGAGTTATGCCACTGCCCCAAAATCAGTCAAACAGAATTTCGAGATAAGGAAAGCTAGAGCTTTGTCTACAATATATCAAGGTGTTGAACGTCAATTTTTGAAGTTGATTCAGTCTACAACAGATGGAAAGAAAGCTTGGGACATTCTAAAAGAAAATTTTGAACCTAAATCAAGAGCAAGAATTGCTGGCCTGGTTGATGAATTTTACAAATTGAAATTTCAGCCAAATGAAGAGGTGATTGGAATATTCTGTCAACGAGTTCGAGATAAAAGTGCACAGATTAAAGAAGCTGGGTTCGAGATTCCCGAACTATTATTATGTTTCCAGATAATAAGAAAACTTCCGGAGGAATATGACAATTTAGTACAGATCTTATATCGTTTAAAGGATTCGGAATTTACAATAAATAATATTGAGAGTCAATTGATCAGTGAATCCAACTAAAAGCTCGAGATAGTGGGTTTGATTCAGTTACAAATGCTTACTTAGCTAAAACAGACATGAAATCATCAAGCGAAGAACGAAGACATTCCACACATCGGAAGCGGTCTGGGCCGGAGAAATACACAAGAAACTGGATACAGACAAAACTTGAAGAGCAAAGGATATCGATATAAAAGTATGGGGCCGTGTTTCAATTGCAATAAACAAGGTCATTATTCAAGAGATTGCAGAGCAAGCAAAACTGCAAATAAGATGCAAGATCGTCAAAGTGCAAAGCAAAATCCCGCTACTGGTCTTTTCTATACGGATATTGAAATTAACGAAGAAGTTGCCGAGGTCGACAGCACGGAACTGGATTTAGAAGAATGGCTTATTGACTCAGCAGCAACATCACATTTCATGAACAGACGACAATGGTTCGAGACGTTTAGACCTCTGAATAAAGCAAATGTACTCGTTGGGGATAAGAACAGTACATCAGAAGTAGAAGGGGTAGGTGACATAATTTTTTATGTTGAAGATAACAACAGATTCACAAAGCTAATATTAAAGAACGCATACTATGCTTGAAATCTACGACATAACTTAATAGCTGGATCTAATATTGATGTAGAGGGACATAAAATTGTTTGGTAAAATTCAAAAATGATAATCTACAATAACCGTAGCAGATATTTCTTCAGTGTACCTAGAATAGATAAACTATACGTTGTTAAAGGTTTACCTGATAAACGTAAATCTGAAATACTTAAAAATGAAATTAATGATGCATTAGACGTAAAACTGTGTCATTGGAGATTTGCTCACCTAAATGACAGTCAAGTTAAGCACATGAGTAAATCTGAAAGGTTAATCTGAAACTTGTATTACTTGCAAAGTGACAAAGTCTATCCGAGCACTTTTAAAAGGAATTATCAACATCTAACAAATAAAGTACTGGATAAGGTGCAGATAGATTTGTGGGGACCTTCTCCAACACCTTCAATGGATGGAAGTCGATATTTTTTGTCGATAATAGATGACTTTTCCAGAAAAGTGGAAGTTTTTACTCTAGAGAAGAAAACAGAGGTTTTTAAATGTTTCAAAACAAATCTCGTAAAATCTTAAAGAGAGTTAAACTGCAAATTGAAGTCAGTCAGAACAGACAACAGAATGGAATTTTGTCTCGCCGAGTTTGAAGATTATTTAAACAATTTGGGAATTCGAATAGAGCGAACTTCAACTTATTCTCCAGAACAAAACGGGATTGCTGAAAAATTCAACCGTGACACAATTGAAGCTGTTCGTGCATCACTTCACGATAGTGAACTAAATGACCGATTTTGGGCTGAAGCTCTATATATGTACGTTCATGTACGAAACCGAAGTGAACACAAGTTAACAAATGGATTGACACCTCTTGAAATTTGGAATGGATACAAACCATCAGTTCGACATCTAAGATTATTTGGTTCTTTGGCGTTTGTTCACGTACCCAAGGTAAAACGCAACGAGTTGAACAAGACATCAAAACTAGGAATCTTAGTTGGCTATGCAACAAGAACGAAGGGTTATAGGATCTATATTCCAGAAGAAAGAAGAGTAGTAGAAACTATTCATGCTAGTTTTGATGAAACGAAAAATGTAGTAGAGAACATTATTTGAGAAGAATAAGAAGTGTGAATACGTAAGATATAAAGACAGCTACTAAGAACAAGTGTTAGACAATAACGAAGAAACTGTTACAAAGAAAGATGAAATGCTACCAATAAAATTTGAGGAGTGGAAAAGAGTTGAAGCACCAAGAAAATTAAGTTCAAGAATAGATGTTTACTATTACCCACCTTCAAGCAAAGAGAGACTTTGATCAACTATCGAAGTAGACAATTTTGTGCCAAAAACGGATTAAAGTTCCAACCAGAACTATTTTCATTTAATTCAAAAAGTCCAAAGCAAGAAGATAGCGAAGATTCATCGACTGATTGTGTAGTTCAAGATTTCGAAGACGAAGTATACAACTTGGAATCGCTTAGAACGTACGAGGAAACCCAAGAATCAGCTGACAAGGATAAGTGGAATAAATCCATGGAAGATGAAAAATCATAAGTATGGAATTTAGTTGAACCTCCAGAAAATGCCAAAAGCATTGGAAGCAGATGGGTGTATATTGTGAAGGGAGATGATAAAAATCAGATAAAGAAGTTCAAGTCCCAGCTGGTAGCTCAAGAATTTAAACAGGTAAAAGGAAAAGATTTTTCTGACATTTTTTCACCTGTAGTAAATTTTCCAATTATACGATTTCTATTCATTTTATTAGTAAGTGTTTTAGATATTAAAAGTGCATATTTATATGGAAATTTAACTGAAACTTTATATATGTCTCAACCAAAAGGATTTGAAGTAAAGGTAAAGAATATATGGTTTGTAAATTAAATAAAGCTATATATCGTTTAAAACAAAGTGGATGACAGTGGAATATTGAGTTAGATAATACTTTAGGACAACTAGATTTTGAAAAACTACTTTGATGTAATTGTGCTTATAAATTAAAATCTGAAGTTATTCTTTTGGTATAATGTCGACGACATAGTATTATTTGGGGAAGATAAAAGAAAATTGATGAAGTTGTTGATTTACTTAAAAGTAAATTAGAAATTCAAGATTTAGGCAAATTGAAATATTTGTTAGGTGTAAACTTTGAAACTGTAAATGATATTGTATATTTACATCAAGTAACTTAT